CTGAGCCTGCGCGTCCGGAGCCTGTGCTCCGCAACGGGAGAGGCCACAGCGGTGAGAGGCCCGCGTACCGCAAAAAAAAAAAAAAAAAAAATTATGAATCGGGCGACATCCCATCTAGTAAATAGAACGGAGCTTGAAGGAGTTGTACAAAATGGAGGGTTTTTTATAGAAGGAGGCAAGGAAGTTATTAGCAAGAGAAAAGAATTATTTCAGGCCAGGTCACCTTCTTTTGGTGGGAGGGTGAGAATCTATCTTATAGAATACCTCTTCTTCCTTTGCGGGGGTAGGGGTGGGGGCGTGGGGAGTGTAGAAATGGTGAGATCCCACATGACAGATTACCTCGCTGGTGCTGACCAGGAAATTCCAGACTGGCCGATTAAGATTACCTTCCTGGGGAAGGACAAAATTGCAGTTAGGTCAGATGTTAAAATCTAGGTTTGGTATCATGGGCTTTAGCACGAGTGACGCCATTTGGGGTCTGTGGTTTTCTCTTTAACAACATCTTTAGACATTTTCCCAAAAAGTCATAAAAATGCTCCTGTGTTGCAACCTGGTTTCCCTGATCTGTCAAAAAACATTATAACCCCCAGCAAGTGAGCACACACGGGCACACCTGCAAGTGAGGGGCCCTGAACATTAAGCTACCTTAGTCTCTCCTGTCTCTGCCCTCCATCTGCCCCTTTATCTAACCTGTCTCCCCCTCAGCCTCCCCTTTTCTGTCCCTCAGTCTCCTCCAGTTATCTCAGGCAAAGATAATGGTAGAAATGACTTCTGGGGAGTGATAGCACTCCGGAAGGATGTCAGCAAGTGACCGTGTCACTGTGGCTTTCCCTTTCCTCTTCTGAGACACTGTCTTTTCTGGGGACCTTGAAGACTGTTCTAGTCTCTCAGTTATGATTCCTGGCTGCACAGTCCTCTAGGCTTCACCATCCAAGCCCCTGTCACTCTGCCTGTGCTTCCCTTACCACAGCCCTGACACTCTGGGCTGTCACTCAGTTGAAGCGCGGGGAGCCCGCCCCCCACGAGGGCAGGGCCGAGGGACTGTCTTGGTCACTGCGTGTCCCCAGCATCACCTAGCAAAGCGCCAGGCACAAATTGAGGGCTGAGCAAAGATTTGGTGAATAGCTAAGGATCCCCACTCTGTGAGGGCACAGGTGATACCTGGCCCTGTGGTGTCCCCTTTGTGAGTTAGACAGGGGTTCCCTCCAGGTGGACGCAGCCCCACTCCAGAACGCACGACCTGGCGCGTGGAGCGAGGGCTGGATTTCAGTTTGTCCCCTTGTCCCCTCAGCCACGCGCCCCGGTGCGGCGCACAACCTTCGCAGCCTTGAGCAATGGCCCTAAGGAGTCGGAGAGCGACTCCTCGGTCCGCGAGCCGAAAACAGACTTAGGATTCTCTCCGGCGTAGGGAGCCGCGGCTCCAGGGAGGAAGCAAAGGAAGGAAGGGGGAGGAAAGGAAGAATACCCCCAACCCAAGCATCCCGCCGGTCTCCTGGGTCCGGGAGCGCTGGTCTCCTCCCTCTCGGTCTTCACACCTGGCGGTGGGGCGTGCCTCAGTTTCCTCCACCCCCGCCCCTCCCCTTATTTCCTCTGCTTCCTCTTTGGGGCGCCGGTAGCCGCGCGTCAAGCACTCCCGGAACTGAAGCTGGGCGCCTGGCCGTCGGGAGGCAGGGGCCACGTCAGCGGGGCGGCCGGGAGCTTGGCGGGCCGACCGGCTGCGCCATGCGGCGGGGAGCGCTCCTGGCGGGCGCCCTGGCGGCGTACATCGCTTACCTGGTGCTGGGCGCGCTGCTGGTGGCGCGGCTGGAGCGGCCGCACGAAGACCGCCTCCGAGCTGAGCTGCAGACTCTGCGCCAGCAGCTGCTGCAGCGCAGCCCGTGTGTGGCTGCCCCCGCCCTAGACGCCTTCGTGGAGCGGATGCTGGCGGCAGGAAGGCTGGGGCGCGCAGCACTCGCCAACGCCTCGGGGTCCGCCAACACCTCGGACCCCGCCTGGGACTTCGCCTCGGCGCTCTTCTTCGCCAGCACGCTGGTCACCACCGTGGGTACGTGGTCGCCGCCCCGAGCCCCCGACCCGGGACCCCCCGGAGCCCCCGCCTCCCTAGGGACCCAGGAGCCGCCAAGAAATACCCTGATCCCGGCGGATCATTCCCGATGTACTCTGAGCCCAGGATCCCCTCAAAACCCCCCAACGAGGACCTGGGACCCACACTCATGGGCTCCTCCACCTTGGGGAGCCTCCATCCATGCCTTTCCTCCCAGTAGGAAATCCACCAGTTCCCTCTGGGACCAGAGCCACCCTCTCAGAGTACCTTCCGGCAAGCGTCTGGGACCTCATTCCTCTGCCTTAACCCCTTGGAGACCCGGGTCTGTCCAGTCCCCTCTGGGCCTAGAACTACCCTCAGAGACCTCCTGCGAGAACCCCGGACCCTCTGCCTGAGACCCTCGCCCCATCTGGACTGGGACCTCAGCCATGCTGAGCCAGCTCTCTCTGGCTCAGACCGCCATCCCCTCCAACACTGTCTCCTGGTTCTCCAGATACGTCCTTCTGGGTTGCCCCTTGGGAAGCCTTACCCCAATCTCCTCCTGACCCTGGTGCCCCAGTGAGGACCCTGAATCTCCAGACCCTCTCCAGGTGCTATCCCTAAAGACCTTACTGCCAGTAGACATCCCTCAGCCAGAACCTGGGGCCCCTATCCCAGACTTCTAGCCCTCTGGACCTAGACCACTCGCCAGCAAGGGGCCCTGCCCTCCTCCTGACCAAGGACCACCCCCACCCTCATACTCCTCTGCAGGTAGCCCTGACTCCAGACACAGGGCCCCTCTTCACGTATCCCACTCCGTCTTAACATCTTTGTATTGAGGAGCCCTCAGTGCAGGGCTTTCCTCTCAATAGGGACACCCCTGTTCCCTCTGAACGTGGGACTTCCAATTCAGCAGCCGTCAGCTGTGGAAGTGCATGAGAAAACTAGAGCACCTTCAGGAAGGGCCACCAACTTTCCAACCAGAAGCTCCCTAGCCAGGACTCCACCCCTACTGTTTTCCAAGCCAGGGACTCCCCATGGGGACCCCTTTGTTTATTTATGTTGGCCGCAGCATGGATCTTAGTTCCCTGAACACAAACCCATGCCCCCTGCAGTGGAAGTGCGGAGTCCTAACCACTGGACCACCAGGAAATTCTTTGCAGACCTCTTTGAACCTGAGAACCCCTAGCTGAGACTCTCACCACTCTCTGGACCCTGACACTCCTTGTAAGAACCCCAGAACCACCTGGGACCCCAGCGCCCTCCACACACGCTGTCCCTGAGAGCAGAATCGCCCCCCTTCCCAGGATGCCGGTCCAGGGAGTTGGCTCTCTGCACCTGCTACCCCTCCCCCGAGACCCCCTGCCCAACCTGAATTTCCCAAGAAAGGGAACCTCCTGGGGACCTGGGACCCCTTCAGTCTCCTCCAGACCCACAGCTGCGACCTTTCTCTCCACCCCAACCCCGCTGTAGTCTGCTCTGGACCTGAAGTTCTCCCTCCATCAAGGACACTCCAGGCTCTCTGTACCCCAGACCCCACCACCACCACTGTCCACTCAAGACCATTACCACTTTCCACCCTTGACACTCTCAGCCAGAACCTGAGACACACACACCCCTCCCATCCTCCCCGTAGCATTGTCTACCCCTATCATGTCCCCTCAGGCATCCTTGGGCTCAGAAGCCCCTTCTGCCTGAGGATTCCCCTTCCAATCCCATTTGTGATCCAGAAAACACCCACACTGGTGCCTGTCCCCCTTCTTCCTCTGGACCCAGGACCCCAGCCCCAAACCAGG